TGAAAGCACCCCACAAAAAGGAATCCAGAGGGTTCAAATCAGTAGACCTCTTAGGCCATTGTATGGGTCCGTTCCTGCCAATCCGTCGTTGTCTAAAATGATTATTTGCGGTGGGGCGCTGTCGTGCTGATACCACTTTCGTACTCTCATTGCTAACGAAACACCATCTAACACATTTTCTATGTAGTTCTCTTAGTATGAGTTTGCATTTAAACGTTGTGGCAATACGTGCATACACAGTTGGTCATTGAAAATGCCGCACGAGACATTTCTAGAAAATTTGTGTTTAAACGAGTGGATTCTTACAGAACGGAGATTTTCCAAAATATGTTCATTATGAGAATTAAAGGTTCCGCTCCTCGTAAAAAGCGATTCATCTGACCATAAAACCAAAACAATAAAGTCTGCATTTTGACTATGCATTTGCAGTAACCACTCACAAAAATTTCACCGTTACACTTCGTCGCCGGGTTGCAGACATTGCACATTTTACCGTTGGTAAGGATGTAAAACTTCCCGATTTAAAATTATCCACGCAAGACTTTGGGAACATGGTAACTGGGCTGTAATCTGCCTAGTACTTGTACTAGTACTAGGATCATCCAATGCCAAATTAATCACGTCCACTTTCTCTTGAACTTAGAAATGAACGCGTAAGGTATGTTGGCGTCTCTTAGAAAATCTACGTTGATACTTCCGAGAAGCATTTCCATTACAGAACCCGTACACAAAAATATTATCGGCGATCATTGCTTAATTTCATTTCACAACACTCAAAAAAGTAAAAAAGAAACTTTTTACTTGACTTTTACAAAAACAAAAATGGTAGTAGTAACGATAGGAACCATATAACACATAACTTTGACAAACTATCCCAAGAAACGTCAAGTTGGTATCTAGGCCTCCTATTACATTTTTAAACTAACTGAAACACAAGTGTAGATAATTATTTGTAGCAAATTAATGGTAACACTCGAGAAATTGCGCGTTTCGAAAAAAAAATGAACGTACTATTTTTATTTAGTAAAATGCCACTAATTCTCTGTATCTCCGCTACTGGTGCACGTTAATTTTAAGTAAATACTTTTGAATGTGGAGAATACTTAGGTAAATCCACATACCAAATTTAAGTTCATTCCAGTTGATGGTTTTGAAGATATTAAATAAACTGTTTTTTATTTTTAAACTTCAACACCTCGTATCTGTTTAATGAAGCCCTCGAGGGGGTCACGACTTCTGAATCACCCTGTATAAAATAGACTGTAACTGCGGTAAATTCTACATCAGTAAACATCAAGACATGTTAAATGTAGAATTAAATAACATAAAGTCAATATACTTTTGTTATAGCACTAAGGATGGTACTTATAAGGCCACAGGATAAAATGAGAAGACGTCTTAATACTACACAAAGAGGATAATGATTACAAACGGAAGGTAAATGAGTCAGCCTATATGGGCTGTCCCAGAAGTCGACGTCAAGCTGGCCAAGTCGCAATAGTTTCAGAAAAATATAAAAAAAAATCAAATTATATTCTTTAAAGAAATCCCGGAAAGTCTACATCCTGTAATGATATTTTAGTTCCCATTACTACAAATGTCAATCTTTTTTTTTAGACGGACAGTGTCTACGAATTGAGAGCAAGACAGATGGTAACGCCACTTTTATTAATTCGTGCATGTATTTATTCACAATAAATGTTCAAACTGCATCCCTTCAGCACAATGCAAGCTGGACATCTTCGGTTTATCAGACCGGCGAATCTTCCGTTATTAACAAATTCGGCTGCTTCCGATATTCAGTCTCGTAGCTCAGATAAATTTTCGATTGTCTTTGAGTAAACTTTTACTTTCGCTGCTCCCCAGTAAAAAAAATCGAATGAATTAAGTCAGGTGAACGAGCTGGCCACGAAATTGTACCAGACCGCCATATCCATCTGTTCGGGTATTCCGCATCAAGTTATTCTCTAATTCTACGGGCATAGTGCGCCGTCCAACCGTCTTGCGGGTACCACATGTCTTTGTAAATGCTTAGTGGCACGTCTTCCAATAAATTTGGTAAATGATTTTGTAAAATAATAAAATAAATTTCGCCATTCAAGAACTCTGGCAGCTCAAGGGGTACAGTGATACAACGATACTGTGATCGATCTTGTCTCATCAAATGTGGATTTTCTGCATGCCTCTCGTGTAAGCTGTGTGTATCTTTTTTAAAGTCAACTCATCAGTCCATCAAATTTTCTCTAAAAATCGCTTGCTTCTGTTTGACCTACTGAAGTGCTCGGGTTTTCTTCAACTGCTTGTAGTATAACGCCCTCGTAAGGAAAGGAAATCCTTTCTCCACCATGTGCTTGATTTGGGAATCGTCCCTCAGAGTAAACGGTGCACATTCACAATAACTCGGTGATCGGTATGACGAGCAGCATTTTGGTACATCTGACGATAAAGCCTAGGTGCAGCACTTGCACCTTATTTATGGGGAATGTAGATGCAATGCATGTTGGCGTGTTCCTGTACTGTGCACACATATATGGTGCCACTACACAATCATGAACTAATAAAAGCGGGGTTACTATTTGTCTTGCTGTCACTACGTAGAATGGCACTGTCCGTCACTCCATCCACAGATTATAAGCTATACTAACTCTGTCTAAAAAAAAATTTAAACTTGTAGTGACGGGATCTGAAAGGTCATCACAGGGTGTAGATTTTTCCGATTTTTTTCAAAGCCTATATTCTGATAACTATTATGTCTTCGCCTATCCCCATTTCTGCTTGACGTCGACTTCTTGGACACCCTGTATAAAATTGAACAACAATTGTCTTACTAGTTCGTCTGTGGCGATTACCCAATTTGGTTGAACATTCTTGAAAGGAAGATCTAGTTAATATTCTCCAAAATAACAATGGCACATGACTTTTTTATCCGGTTTTTTCCCATGGTTTGTTGTTGGATCTCAAACGAGCAGATGTTTTACTTCGCCTTCTCAAGGCTAAACTGTTGCGTCTTAATATTGTTTTTTTACTGGACACCATGTTCCCTTTAAGTGTCAAAGTGCTATTTATCCCATTTCAGATCCTTAAACAATGCACTTACAACATGTTGGTGGAAGATTGCATAACAATCAACCGGTATATTACGACATGGACGAGGGTTACGTATCTGGTACATTAAAACATCGGCAGATAACCTTATACTCGCTTGTCGTTTAGGGGGGCTAGACAACCATTTTGGATCGGGAATGCTTACCTCAGGCGGTCTTGGTCTACGAGTATGCTGGTTTTACGTTGTGACATCTTAAAATTTCGAATGATCGCTTTGCGCAATCTCCGTATTTAACGAACCTTTAAGACTATTTTAGTAACAAACTGTATAGGAATGGACAGAAAAAACAAACGAAGTGTTATATGGAAGTCAGATGAATAAAATATTGTCAAAAGTGTCATGTGCTGAAGCAGGTCACCGTTGTGACCAAAACATTTACTACATTAAAGAAGGGTTTCAAATATATGTGGTTTCATTGGCCAGACATGAATGATTATCAAAATATACTCATATACTGTTGGAAACAAAATGGAACACCAAGTAGATTTTTTTTATTTGAATGGTACAGATATGTAAGAGGATGTTGTGATGAAATTTTACAGTATGTTTTGCTAGGTTTCCTTAATAATGTGTTGGTCCGCTAACGATGCTACAGGAACTAATCCAGTCGTCGATGCATGCTTCTGATGAGATGATTTATTTCTTCTTGAGGTATCTCATGGAAAGCCACCTTCATTTGGTTCTCAGGGGCCGCAAATGCTCATCGAGGATGAGGTAAAGAGATCACTCTTCCCCCCCATATCCCACACATGTTCGGGGGGGGGGAATTTCTGTAGATCTAGGACTCCAAGGAAGAGGGCAGAGATAAGTGCTATTGAGGTAGTTCATTGTAGCTCCAGCAATATGGGAACGGACATTCTGTTGTTAGAAAATTGAGCTGCCAACATTTTCGTGAAATGGCTAAAAATGAGTTTCCAGTATCTTCTATATTCGCTGTGCCGTCATACCTCCTCTAATGAAGCCTAGAGCTATTTTAGCACGAGCTGTAATGGCGCCACGAGCCATAACTCCTACAGTATGATGCACGTCACATCCAACTGAAAACTCGTTACGCCTCTCTCCGCGTCGCCTTCTAACCAATGTCCGCCCATCCTGTAATTCTAAAAATAACCATGAGTCATAATCATCACCAATAGCAGTGTGACCATTTATCGTCCCAATTTTCTCTTTCTAGGTTCTTTTTAGGAATTCACGATGGACAGGCTCAGGTCACAAGGCGATCCGAAGAAAGACGGAATATAACGTTTTTAAAAAATGTTTTCGGCAAGCGTCCCTGCATCGGCTGACTTCAACGGCCGCGACCGACGTGGCGGTGTTCATATGTGTCCTGCATGACTATGCTACGGGCGCTCTGGCTCTGCCACGTGTGACGCACCATGCTTTCAGATATCGGGGAGAGGCGACGCGACGTTGACAGATGGACGGTACTATGGGAAATAATGTTATGGACTAATTGTACGGATCTATTTGACGGACTTGATCAGTTTAGCTTCTCTTCTATACATGTCTGTAACTAACTTTTTTCTTAGAGGGTCTAAACACATGCTGCTCCCGTCCGTCCAACAGAACACAGAAAACCTCAGGCAGCTGTTTCGTGCTTTTTTGGCAACTCATCAGCATGGTCTAGGGTCGGTCTCTGGAGCAACTAATGAAAGCATAGCAACTATCCTCTGCCAGGATTTCAGGTCTCTGACGCTGTCTTATTTCAGTAGAGTGTGCTGAACATAATCATGTATGAAGAGATGACGGGGTTGCGTGGGAGGCGTAGAGTCAACCTACTTGACGCCGTTTTTTTCCTCAAACAAACTTGTTACAGAATTATGTATAAAATTTCATATCACGACATTTATGAAGTAGATTCATTTTGGGCACATGTATATTCTTCTATTTGTTCCAGGCATAATGTCCAGTCAACACTACTGTCTACGATGGAACAATTACCAGGACAACATGACATCAGTGTTCCACGAGCTTCTGCAAACCGAAGCTTTCGTGGATGTTACATTAGCTTGTAATGATGTTTCTTTGAAAGCACACAAGGTAAGTGTTGGTGTTCATACATATACCGGGTATTTCAAATGGGGTTAAAGTTGCGTATTTAGGTAACCAACGAAATTCCGCTTGGAGAGAGAGAAGTGAAAGTCGAGAAATGGAAATAACCGAATTTTCCCAAAATCGTTTCAGTTTTTTTCTGACTACCTTTTCAATGGGATTCCAAAATAATTTAGAAATTATCGCTTCTTCTCAGATTAGATTTCAATGTGGGTTTTCGTCTCTTGTCCTGTAGCGTCAACTTTTTTTTCTTATGGACGCACTACTGGATTTTTGCATAGATGAATAGAGTTTTTAATTCTGATTCCAAAAGTCATCATCATGTCATACATTGACATTGCCAAACCTTCGTTATTTCAAAAAGTTCCTAAGTAAGTCTTCAAATTATCGAATGATCATTTGTTTCTCATACCAAATTTGTTTCCTGATTTTCCTGATGGTATTTCAAAATAAATTGCATGATGTTATTGCCACTTTTTCTCCTCTACAAGGTGACTTAGTCGAATTGTCAATTCGAGGTTTCTTCTTTTGACTTTCATTACTATCTCTTTTTTTTAAATTATTATTGGAGTTTCGTGCATTTAAATTGATTGTTCAGTCCTACATTCAGATTTAGTTGGCCATGATTTTGCTATTGGAACGGAAATTATAAGGAAATAAAAAGATATGTTGAAACCTGAACATAAAATGAAAATTTTATTGATAGTAATAACAATAATCATAAATAAGCAGAGGTAAATCATAGCAGATGCTCAAGATGTCCGTTATTTTGTAGGCAAAGCCTGACTCTTCTCTGTGCATTGTTGACTGCTCGGTTTATTTCCCTTCTCGGTCTTTGAACCTCTGTTACTATGATCGACTTGAGGTCTTCAAAACTCCGTCATATTCTGCATGTGCATAAATTGGCCATACGTTTTTATTTCCTTATAATTTTCGTTCGAACAACAAATTCATTGCCAACTGTGGAAATATACATCACTAAATTTAGGACCGAACACGCCTCCTTAAATGTACAAAATTACAATATAACGTCCATATGAAAAAACGAAGAGAAAAAGTGGCAATAGCAGCATGTATTTTGAAATAACATCTGAAATAAATCAAGAGAAAATAAAAATGATTTGGCGATAAATTTGGTATATGAAACTGAAAATAACTGAATCTGATATATGTATTTCGTTTAGATGTTTTGAATTACGCTGTATGTACATATATACAAAAATAAAGGAACAGCTATGTATTTTTCTAGGTAAGGTACTTGGGGATGATATCAAGATCAGTTCTACACCTTCAAGGTTATTTAAAAGTGAAGTTTTGGTTCTTGAATACAAAGCCCCGTTTTGACTTCGTCAATCGAAAGGATAGAAAATGTTGCATCCGAATATACATTAAAATCAGAATCGACTATAAAGGTTGAATGTTGATGACCAGCTTAGTAGAATTATTGTTGAACATAAAAAATAATGACACGTCTTCGGTAGGTTTTAGCAATGATCAATTGTGACTTTGGATTCAACCTTGAAACTTACCTTCAAAGTCATTTCAAGGTTATTTTTTTAAACTTAGAATTCTTTTTGAAGTAGCAATGGACATTTTTACCGTCTGATTTATTATTTTCTTGTATGTCGTCTCATTCTTCTTGTGCAAGGCTCTATCTGAATGTGCAATAAAACATGGAATATTCAATTGAAAACATGTAAAAATCTGTCAGTTTTTTCCATGTTATATTGCACAGATAGATCCTTCCAAAATAAGAATATTGATGTAACATGCTAAAACGTTTTAATTATTAGTTGTTTGCTATAATAATACCTGTATACTCAATGTTGATATTGTACTGCTAGGAAGTTTCAGAATGAGGTATAACATGACCCCCTATACGAGTATGTCTTAAGAAACTTTCATTTGTCGTTCTTACCTTGAAATATTATTCATCTCAAATTTCAGGTTGCTAACTTACCCCGTTCGAGAAATAAGTTGGGGGACCTTTTTGAAAAGCACTGTATGCTTTTTATAAGCAGCTGTTGAACGGTGGGGAACATTAAACTACAGGTCCAGTCGGCCGAAAATATGTTCTCATCATTTTCTATTAATTTTAGGCTGCTGATTTCGGAAAAAAAAATGTTCTAAGAAATCTAGGACCTCTGGTTTTTGAAATGTGGTATTAATCTTACAAATAATAACCAATGTCATCAATTTTTCAGCGCAAATGATTTAATTAAATTTACAAAATTTTAAGTTTCAAAACATCTTTTAAACAACAACTATATTAACATAGTTTCCTATATTTTTGGTTAAAAATATAAAAAAGTTATGGATGGATACATTGATTCACCTTGTAAAATAATGTATTTACGATGTACAAAAAAAATCTTACTAATTAAACATCTGATGATCAACAACTTTCATCACTCCCCGAATCCAGGAGTCCCTGGCGAGCTATTTGATTGCACAGTTCAGCAGAGCTGAGTAAAAGTAACGTGTAGCTCAACAATGGCTAGCTTCTTTTCTTCGGTACTCGCCTCATACCAGATAGAAGTGGGTCAGAACTTAAAAGCAATATTATATGCTCGAAATATCTGTTACATTTTATTGAAAATTCTTAAGCGAAGTTTGTTCGGTATAGCTTGTATTCAAACTATGAACAGTTGAAGTCACCGGGTGCCAATAATACTGTACAGCCTTTAAGAAATAATATTTGAACTTGCTTTATGCCATCTTCGCTGAAGCCTTGAAAATTCATGTTAGAGATCCTTTTGTTGTTCTTCAGAATAATTGGCTTGATTTAGCGGACAAATTTCATAAAATTTCAATTTGTTGTCGAAACCTTGTAATTGTTGGCTATCCATAAGATCAAAAGAGATTCTCACTCCAAATGGCCCTAAAATTATATTTGCCCTTAACTAATGAAAATAGATAAATATTTATATAATCCCTTTTCAGAATTTCTTTTTAAATTTATTTCTTCATTAAGACTTGCATGAGAAAAGATCAATATTTTCCATAGTGACAGTTGTTGGCGGCTATTGTCTTATAATTTATTTACTGCATAACTTAAACAAATAATCATGTTGACCTGGATATCGTGACTCATCGAGAAGTATAACAAAATCCTTATCGAATGTTGAAATTCACAATAACAAGCAGGAAAAAATTCAAACAAAATAAACATAGGTAGCACAGCAAACAAATTCAAATTTGTCTTTCCTCTAATTCGACCAATCAGGGTTATGCCCAAAACTTAAATTCCCCACTATTCTAATTGACTATTCGATATGGTTTTTCCACCTCCGCTACATTTTCTAAACTGTTACTTTTGGCAGGCTAGATGTGTGCCCATGCAATTCCCGGGGTAATACGGCTCTATCTATATTTTCTATGCATGCAATTGTATTATTTACATTGCAAATACTATGTGGGAACATTATGTGGCATAGATTGATTTACACTGCATAAACATCGTGCCTGATACATGCCTACCATTGTCATAATGTGTTTTATTTTGCCATGCTTACAACTGAATTTCAAAGATATAATCCTTTTATGGACTATAGTCCTAGATACTGACTCGCCTGCCATTCATATCAGTGATTTTGAACTGATTCAAGATAACTAGGCAATCGTAATTAAAAAATTAATGTATTCCTAAAAAAATATATAAGGATCTTTTCTATGGAGATACTATCAACCACTGCTAATTTCAATTCGTCAGCGGAAGAACTGCTGTGCTATTGTATAATCTGTCAATTAGCAAGTTTTTTTAGATTATGGATGATTACTGCATGTTCCGTGAAATTGATTACGGCTCCTTTATTTGTATTAACCGCAGTGTAAATGTTATGAAAGTTGCAATATGTATTTATTTATTAAACGCTAGGCCCAAGTTTATCTGCAATATGAAAATAAAAATTAACTGCAATTCAATAAGTGGAATGCTATCAAGTTCATTTATTGGAATACACATCTTAATGGAGTTTGGAAATTATTGAGGTATGTAAGCAATATTACAAAATATCTTTATCTTTTATCATGCGTGTTTTTAAATTGAATATCAGTTATTAAATTTCGTAATAAGCAACTTGACTTTCACGAATTGATGATAGAGAAATATGAAATTACAGACCTTATCAACCTGACCTGAAAGTTTCTGTAGCTATAGGTATTTAGACAGCATAGGCATTAGATTAGCCCAATAAATTAAAATCCCCAAAATATATATTATTTAAACGTTCATATCCAAATCTATTTTTAGATAATTTAAATGTTTTTCCTTCCTTCGAAATTCAGAGACCGAAGTATTAGCAGACAGACGGACCGACAAACAGACAGTCCAAAACTCCAAAGGACAATAAATACTTCATTTTCGAATTTTTTCACGATTTTAATACTTCCTCGCCAACTGTTATAACTGTTCATCGTATCTTAAGGCGCATTTTGAAAATATCTGATATTATTACAGGATGTTCGACTATTGAGCTAGATGCCAAGGCAGTGCCTTTTTAAATGTAATGCCTTATATTTTTATATATTTATATTCGGATAGACCCTTTCGAAGGCTGTGATGCAGTGATGTTGAGTCATAAAGAATTTATTATAAAAATGCCCGCCTTTGACAACAAACCAGTCTGCTATTTTGGAGTTTTGCATCAGGCAATTTGAAGTTTTTTGTACTAATCAGATTTTTATAGGTAATGTGCTTCACAGACCCTACCATGTATTTTCTTTGGTTGCAGGTGGTGCTATCAGCATGTTCATCTTACTTCCAAAAATTGTTGATGGAGAATCCTTGCAAACATCCCACCATCATAATGCCTCAGGATGTATGCTTCGGCGACCTCAAATTCATCATCGATTTTGTGTACAAAGGTGAAATAGACGTGTCACAAGCAGAGCTAGAGGTATGTGGAATTAATGCTTTACTGCCTCCTTTTATAAAGATTGGAAATTATAGATGAAATATTGCAAATGTATGTAGGAGTTCTAGGAATTATTATCCAGAAAATCGCAATGTTTCCATTACGTCGCAGGCCACAGGCGAGGAAATATTGTAATCGCGAAATATTTCAAGAATGAGATATGCGTTGAGAATGTTATATGACATACACATAACGTAAAACCGTGTCATTGACTTATATTAGTCTATATGTAGGTTGTGATGGTCCGCTAATCCTTGGCCCCACTATAACTTGGAAATTATCGCTCGGATTTTGACAAAAATTTTACACAAGGTTCTCTGCCGAGGACGTTTCTTATGTTTCATGGGCTACTAATCATTTTTTAAAAAAATCTGGGGATTCAACGTTGGGGTTTGGATGTTGTAGTGGGAGAGGGTATAACTAAATTTGTTTGAGATAGTATATTTATACACCTCCAACTCCACTAATTCTACACACCTGTTAGATGTATGGTATTTCACACATCATAGATTTTCTTTACATTTGCCTTTATAACGTGGAATAGCCTCCCAGAGCAGGCAGGCAGATGGATGGTTGACTTCCACAATGTAAAAGCAGGTGTTCGCCAGGGATCGGTCTTGCCGCCAACATTGATTCTCTTACATATCAACCACCTCCTTTCCCGTACGATCAAACCGATCAACAGCTTTGCTTATGACTGCACTCAACATGCAGGAATTCAGAGTGACAAGTCGATCTCTGCCGGTGAGCTGGAAAAAGAAAACTGGCAGTGACTTCGGCTTGACTTGATCTGACAGGAACACATCTCGACATTAGCGGAAGCTGCTGGGAAAATACTAGGCTACTTGTTTAGTGCTAAGAAGTTATTTTCTCCACATAACCTCCTCACTATGTACAGAGCCTAAATAAGACCTAGCCTCAAGTACTGCTAACATATTTGGGGTGCTGCCGCCCCGACTACACTATCCATGCTCGATGCTGTCCAGAGGAGTCCTGTTCGATTGATCGATGACTCTTCTCTAACGGACAGTCTCGGGACCTTTGCACATTGACAGGCCGTCGGCGATCTAGCTGTCTTCTACCGCTACTCGAACTGGCTTTGCTGCCCAGAGCTCTCCTCCACAATGCCGCCGCACGATCTGCCTGCCAGACAGACCCGCCTGACTTCGGTCCCTCATCCTAGCCATGTCGAACTTCGTACACTCAGAACTGGCCGATTTAACCGCTCTTTTGTCTTTAAGTTAACAGAATTTTGGAACAATCTGCTTGAGGAGACTTTTTTCAGTTTTACTGCCGCAAATCGGCTTAACAATGTTCCTTTTGCCGTGGTCTTTAGGCTCCTGCCTGGGCGGATTCTGCATTACAACAAAAATCATATAGAAATATTCTCAACACCTGCGTCTCTGGATGATCCTGCGTTGCACGTCAGGGTCTGACCGTTATCTGACGATGTGTGGTTGGCTAGTGGCGAGGCTAGTCATAGCAACATTGCCAGATGGTCGGCAGGACAGGGGAGATATTTCTAGATAGCAACGTTATCAAATAGGTTGAAACTGGACCAATTGTATGTGCCTGTTTGATTGACCATTTAATTTTGAGTTTTACATGTTCGTAGTTAACTTCTTTCTCCTATGGGCTAACTTGTGTCGAACATAATCCTTTATGAACTGAAAACAGCGATGTGTGGGAAGTGCAGAGTAAACCTACTTGGCGCAGTTTTTCGATTATACTATAACTATCTAAAACTGTTATGACTCATCGATGTTCACGTAAACATCACTTAACTACCAGTAGTCGGCTGTTCATAGGCGGGGTATGAATGTTTAACATGGGTGAACTAGATTTGTCACATGCTTAATAAAGAGTGGTTTGAAACATATTGTAAGTCAAAAATTTGGGAATTACCTTTATTCATCGTCGCTTCCACTTACATCTGACAGTAATAAACTGTCGCTATCGCTTTCCTCGTTGAAATTGACGATAACTGGCTCTATGATGGTGTCGATGTGGTGGTCAAGCTGCCACATTTTTGTTTCTTCCTTCACAACATGACGGATAGCATTCTGCCAAGCTTCGGGCGTTACTAGCTGTATGGAAGTCTGAAGTAAAACCTTAACGTCTGGTAATTTGAAGGTTGTGTTATGGCGCGCAATATAACCCTTCACTTGAGCCCAGATGAGCTCTATTGGGTTCAGTTCACAGTGGTAGGGCGGTAACCGCAGCACCGTGACACTACATTGACGGGCCATCTCATCAGTCACGTAACTAATGTTTGCAGGTTTGTGCTGTTTAGTTTTTTCATACAATTCCGCTTTCACACATGAATCGTCAAACGGGATTCCTTTTTCGCGCAACCATTGCTGCATGTCACTTTTTCGAGATCCCATAGTCGGTACACGTTCGGCTCGACGACTATGATAGGAAGCATTATCCATGACGATCACAGAGTTGGGCTCAACTCGCTGACGCACCCCTTGAAACCAGCTCTCGAAGCAGCTGGCATTCATTTCGTCATTTTAATCACCTCCTTTCTTAGAGACGAAAATCAAGTCACACTCTTCTAAAACGCCACTATCGCTACCAATATGAGTTACGATCAATCTTTGACCTTTCCCTGGCGGTCCACGAAGACCTGTTGACAAACCTTCAATACTTGCTTGTCGGTTACTCACTACGTTTTTGTCTATCCAGGTTTTTTTAACTGTGTGACCTGCATTTACCCATGTCTCATCCAAATAATAGATTTTTCTGCTTTGTCGCCTATATTCAATCATTTCGCGTAGGTATTTTCGACGCCAGGCGACTATTTCAGGTCTCTCTATCAATACTGACTTCCAATTACGCGTTTCGTAACGAAAATTAATTTCGTGCAGGGATTTCCTCATTACCTCGACGCTCATTTGGGGTATAATTTCATTTTCCTTGATCGCTGCATGTACAGCTTTGAGGGTTGGTATCTCATTCCTAAAGAAGAATGAATGTACGGTTCGCCTTAACGCCATTTTGCTATCGTCATCTAATTTAACGGCCTTTCGACCCTTCAAATTAAACTTTGGATCAGTAGTAGCTCCAGTTTTCTTCTTTTCATGCACCACCCTGCGAATGGTCCACTCTGGAACGCCTGTCATACTTTCACAACGCGCGAGTGCATCTCCCTGCGACATAGTTCTGTTCAGATAATTGAACACGTTGCGCACGATTTCTTTCGCGTCCCTCTTCAGTGCTTTACGAAGCCGTCTACTTGTTCCCTGGCTTTCAGTACTTCCACTCGTGCCATTTGTACTCTCCATGGTTAAGTATAACCAAAACAGTAACCACAGAAACCACAACAATAACAATCTCTGTCTGTGCTGTTGACCACCGCAAAGCCACAGAAACGACATATGTCGTACGCTATACGGCTGTACTGGAAGGAAGCCGGGATCGAGCTCTGATCACGTGTTGATCACGCGTATGAGTCATTACAGTTTTAAATAGTTGTAGTATAGGCAACGTCTGTGTCCGTATTTTCTCCCACTCATCTACTACATTTTTTTTATTTATTTATTGGCTTGGGGCACCAACCCATTCAGCCACAATAACATTTCAAGTTATACAAATATAATATACATACAGTGACATCATTAACGCCCATCACATTTAAGGTCGATACTGCGCATCTGCTACATCTCTTTTTGAACTACGAAGTATACATGGTGCGTTTTAAGAGAAAAATAAACCGCCTGTTTCCTTCCTTAAGCGACTGTCCTCGTCGGAAATGAGAAACTCGCTCTTGCTCTAAAATGTCCGATTTCCTGGGAAGCCATCACATCCGCGGCAACTGGGTGACCGCTAGTCGCTTGGCTGGGTTGAAACAGAAAATTCCGTCTTGGAAACGGTATCGTGGCATTTTCTACCTGAGTGCATCTACCTGTGTTTAACGTTACGCCTGAGGAACTCTACCATTTCCCTCGCTTCAGCTACACATTGAAGCAATGCCGATCCGCTTATAGTAGAGTGAACAATAATGTTTATATTATAATCTTAGACATTTTATGGCTTTTTTACGGAGGTACAGGATGTACTTAGTTTGATACGTGTTTGTTTGGATTTTAGTTGTCTGGCCCAGAATAAAGTGTGAACCTCTTCGAAGCACAACACAAAATATAATGCCACAAGTTCATATGAAAAATGTTCTAGAGACTCCCCTTCAGGTATACAAGCCCCTAAAGAATCCCACTGAACATTGTGTTTCTTAAACTTCTAAACTGTATGTATACGTATAATTCATAATGGCTCACGTGATGGTGTTCATGAAAAATAGTTAGATCTTTTACATTGCAGGGCAGGGGGCTCACTAACCCTAACATGATAGTGCTGTTTTTCTTGAGTGAAAGTGGGACCATTGGTTGTATCAAAGCGGTACCATTGGTGGTCCTTCGCGCTCATGGAAGATATATGTACCACCCGGGACCCAAAACTGGTGGATGTCACAAGCGGGACAATTTGCGTCCACAGGGAAAACCGGGACGGAGAGAACCAAAAAACGGATGGTCCCACTCAAAGCACGCAAGGTCACGACACTCATAAACAATATTTTTGAAAAACCTTTTCATTCAGCTGAAATAAAGTGCTTCTTTGGTTTTCGTATGATGGTCGATTGCTCTTTGTATCAATTCACGGCCGTCCCAAAAAAGTTCGTAAAAAATCTAGAATTCGATTAAGTGATTGGGAAAATAACCTAAGAATTTTTGGGTCGCTAATCATGAATATCTCAGAATTGCAGTATTTCCAAAATGATGAACCGAATATTCGGGATCCATTTTCACAGAAACAAACACACTAATATTTTTTCTCTTCAAGATCAAGCTTTCCAAAAAAGCTATCGTTTAGTTTATTATACAGCAAAATTACACTGGGGTTTGTCTGTTCCTATCGATCCAGAGATATTCATTGTCGTCTATGAATATAATAATAATAATAATAATATGACTTTATTGGTAATCTTTCACATCATGGTGAAGTTTAGCTTGATGGCTACTCTTCCACTTAACCAGAATATGGACGAAATTTAGCAAAAAGTTTACTTACGCAACGTAAAACAAATACAGAACAGTTATGAAATTATACTATTTACAAGCATAGTAAGCCAGGAAGAAAAGAGTATCTAATATACTAAGTGACATATAAATCCGAACACCCAGTTTAAATGGTTTTATTTTAATAAAAGTTGGTGAATGTATTTATCTTACTGTAAATAACAAGTGCAAAAATTTTCAGCCTTATCAGTTGGACATTCCGGTTTTTATACTGCTTTTTTTTAATTCACTAACGCTCTAAAAATGAATATTTCAGCCGCAGTAAAGAATCAACGTTGGCGGATTTTGGTTCTTGACATCCTTTACGATCGGTTACGATGCCTAGAGTACGGAGACCTGTACGATTTCGTCAACTTAGTGAGTTTGATAGGGGCCGTATAGTGGGACTTCGGGAAGCTGGACTTTCTTTTCGGGCAATTGCAGTTAGAGTGCAAAGAAGTGTAGACACTGTGGTTAGGTGTTGTCAGGCATGGCTTCGAGAAGGCCGTACGCAAAGAGCAAGGGGCACTGGACGCCGACGTAGAACAACAGACCGTGAAGATCGCCGCCTAAGATTATTGGCCTTAAGGGACCGTTTCTCCACTACCAGGTCCATTGCAAATGAATGGTTTGCAGAACACGGAAGACCTATTGGCATGCGAAGTGTTTACCGACGAATGAGAAGTTTTGGCTTGTTTTCATACCGGCCACACTGGGTCCTCCCTTTAACTCGAGAACACCGACGTAATCGCCTTGAGTGGTGCAGACAACGGTCACTCTGGGATCAGGAATGGAACAGTATTGTCTTTAGTGACGAGTCTCGATTTTGTTTAGGCATGCACGATGGTCGTGCCAGGTTTAGAAGGCGACGTGGTGAAAGGAGGAATTTACAGTTTTTTGTTGAAAGACATGTTCATCACACTGTTGGTGTTATGGTTTGGGGTGCTATAGCTTATGGTTCTAGGTCACCTTTAATCTTCATCAGAGGTAACATGAACGCGCAACGTTATATCCACGACGTTCTAGAACCCCATCTTTTACCCTATCTTGACACCCTGGCAGATCCAACTTTCCAATAAGATAATGCCCAACCACATGTTGCAAGAGTCACAATAGACTTCTTTCAACATAACGATGTCACATTTTTACCATGGCCACCAAGATCTCCCGACTTATCCCCAATTGAGTACGTGTGGGATATGATGGGTAGGAGATTGCTCAATTTGCAACGTCCTCCTCAGACTCTAGAAGCACTTCGAGAGGAGTTGGTGGTTGCCTGGAATGAGATACCACAGGAGGACATTGACCACCTGATCAGAAGCATGCCTAGGCTCGTTGGAGAATGCGTAGCACATCAGGGTGCATCCACACATTATTAAAGGTCAAAGGGCTTTAAAGCAGTGCAATCATTTTGAAATTTTTATCATTTACTTATTATGCTTCATTAAGTACTTATACAAAATTTTATTAAAATAAAACCATTTAAACTGGGTGTTCGGATTTATATGTCACTTAGAATAGCTGTTTTCTAACCGATTTCCTAAACACAGGTAAACTTTTTTGTTTGTTCAATGTACTGAGTGAATTGTATAACTGAACTTCATTGTACGTAAAATATATTTGATACAATGAAGTACGGCGAAGAGAAAGGAATATCGACCTGGTCATCATGGCGTAACCTTCTTGTAATTAGATTTCTACGAGAACTAACTTAGGCAAAGAGCCGTTTTACACACAAGAGAATTACTCCGAAAATTATGGCATAATTATGCCGAAAATTATTGCTGTCGTATTACACGTAAAAGAATTCTTGTGAAAATTTTCATGGTAAAAATATAAAACCCGTTCTATAGAATATAGAGGGTTATTTCCGTGCATGTCAATATGAAATGTCAACATCAACAACATAACCTCACTTAACATTTGTGGGTGTGGTGATGTTCGAGTCGTACGAAGGAGCGTTTATTGTTATTGTTTATTCATAATGTCGTGAATCGGGAAAAAGCGAAGAAGTTAAACTGATTTTGGAGGAGTACCAAAAATGGCCAAACCTGAACAAGGTGCAGTCACCCAATTACAAAAACAGAAATTTGCGGCGTCAGGCGCTGGATGCAATAGTCCAAGCATCGAGAAGTCTTATAATATTAACCAAGATCTCGATTTCAAAAATAAATTTAAATCAACGACGTCTGTTGTCTTTCCGATTATATTGGACGTCATACCCGTTAAGGTAATTTTATTAAAATAAAACCATTTAAACTGGGTGTTCGGATTTATATGTCACTTAGTATATTTTAATTATTTCGATGCATTCTGCGTCAGGAAAACCTAATATAATTTAACACAAAACTCATGAATGACGGTGTTAAATAAAAAAAATAAAAGTAAGTATGTAGTACCAGTACTGATGACACGGTACCATTAGAATAGTTCAGTGTAAGTGTAAGTCAGTTGTGTCAAACCGAACTCCACTAAAATACCATTTTTTCTCTGCGGCGATCAACTTTTAACCAAGCTTCAGTTCCGGTGAAGCGGTAGACACGTAAAAGTCAGTTGTGGGACAGGAAAAACCTGAAATGGTAGGAGGGTAAGCCAGCTTGAAACATATTTATATGAGAGATAGTCGGTTTGCTACTTGCTAATATACTACGTATACATCTTAAGTTACGCACGAAAATGTTATTCTCCTAAAAAGTGCGGAAAGTGATACTTTTCCGCATCCGACTGCAGTTAGAGTGTGAAAAAGATACTTTCCGGAAGAGTTAGGCACATTATTTCTTCCAGCGCTTAACAAGAAAAACAACAATATACGTATTGTAATAGTTGAAATCATTAATTTTAATAATAAAAGCCTTCTGAATGTAATAGCTCCATTTCGTTGAAAATGATATATTGTCAATGATGATAAATTCAACACCCGCTGATATTTTTCCTTTTCCGCTTGCTGTACGGAAAAGTGACTTTGCTGCTCGGCGAGCGGAAATGTGACACTTTCCAAACTGAAACGCGTCTGGAAACGTGGCTCTTTCAACATTCTGGTAGAAAAAAAAGTAGTATTCCTATTCCGCCCTCTTTGTTGTTTATCTTCCGCCCTCTTTGTTGTTTATCTTCCGCCATTGGCTTGCGTCTGACATTTGGATTGATTTCCGGAAAATTCACGACAATTAGTATTATTATCTACAAAGAAAACGCAGATCCACATCACATTCAACATCTACTTATTTAAAGGTCATTCCCTACAGTAACTGTACTAAAAACGCAGTGAATGCTTCAGAAAACGGTCGAGCGTTGATCTTACACACCATTTCCTTTCTGTAATGCCTCGCTATACAAAATGTGAGTAAACAATACCTGAGTATATTTCTATGGAAGAACGTATCCACTATATAGAATGATGATTATTATTGTGTGAGATAACACGATAGAAGAAGTAGCGTCTACGTATAATTCATACTATGTTTACCTTCTTATCATCCATCACTTTGAACGTGCACGACCACCAACGCGAAACGAAGCGAAGAGAACAGAAACGAAGTTTTTCCAACGGATTCCTTTAAATATATCGGGTATTTCAAATTCCACTATCACCATTGGCATCTTGGAATCAGTAAGACTTACGAAGTCGCTTAAATGCGGGCAAAGCTGCGCATTTAAGTAAGTAACTGAGAAAATGGCATTTAGAAAAATTCGCGATTCCCAGTATTGCCGGAGAGAGGCGGAAAAACTTTTCTATTTTTAACTAATGACCTTATTTGAAATTAGTCTAATCATATTAGCAAATTTCCCCGAAATAATTGTAAAGTCGGGTTTTATTGTTGATTTTGTGGGGAAACTGTTTATTCAACAACAAAGAATGAGAAAACATGTTTTTTGGGATTCAATTGAAAGTATTGACAGGAACGAGAAGAAGATTTTTAGGTATTTATGAGACCTACAAAATGAGACCACAAGTAAAAAGATCCGACTAATAGTTAAAAAGTTATGACCGAAAACCGAGGAAAAATGCAGGTTTGGTACTTGTTGCTAATGCGACAATGATTTCACGCAGCTACTTGAAATTTTCCATATCCGTAGGCTTGATACTTCTAAATAACGACAACAAAATTGGAGTCGATTGGTCAAGTAGTTTTTGAGAATCTCTAATTGTTTATCCCAAAACAC